TTCGTTTGTTCTGCTTTGGTGGTTTTTCTTGTGAAGATTCTTTAGCTCCAGGCTTTTTAGCTGCCAACATTGTTTGTACAGTTTTAACACCTTTCTGATTACTATCCCCAGACATACTTTTTATATTTGAAACAACAGTTCAAAATACAATATTATTAAATTCCACTGAATTTCAAAATGTTTTTTTCACTAATATAAGTCCATCCAACAAGGAAATTTCAAAGTAACTTGATATCTATATAGTCCATACAATTTGGAATCTAATGATATAACTTTCAATAGAATTCTTCATCAAAATCCAGCTTAAAAATGCCAAATACTGCAGAGCTGATGTTTAACTCCTTTCTATATTGGCGGCCATCTTAATCTCTAAGCGCTAGCTAATACTTAGCTAAAAAAATATCATAAATAAAAAGTTCTACAGATTTAAAAAAAAAATCGTTTATTGACTTTATTCCTATATAATATCTCAGGTGCTTTAATTTTAAATTTAAGGCATTTCTCGTGACCTTAACCGCCTTATAGAAAAAAAATCAATGAGACTGTTTTAACCATAAAATGAAACACATATAAATCTTCCAGGAGGTTCAAAAGTGCACACATACAAATCTTCCTCGAAGTACGAAATGGTAAACGCACAAATCTTCCATGAGGTACGAAAATGGCATACATACAAATCTTCCATGAGGTACGAAATGGTATACATATAAATCTTCCATAAGGTACGAAATAGCGCACATGAATGAGACAGTTTTTACCAAGAAATCAAGAACATATAAGTCTTCCATGAGGTATGAAATGGCATACATATAAATCTTCCATGAGGTACGAAATGGCATACATATAAATCTTCCATGAAATACGAAATGGTATACATATAAATTTACCATGAGGTACAATATGGTACACAAAACAGTAACATGTTAATATTATAGGAGGTACGAAATGGTCAAGGTACCAAATGGTTTTTGCCATGGTACATAATGGGGGTACGAAATGACTATAATTCGGTACATGTATGGGTCACTTTTTAGTTCACCTGGCCCGAAGCTTTTCTCATCACTTGACGTCCGTCGTCCGTCGTCCGTCGTCGTCGTTAACTTTTTACATTTTGAACTTCTTCTAGAGAACCACTGAATGGAATAAACCAAACATGGCATGAATGTTCCTTATGAGGTGCTGAACAAGTGTTGTTACTTTGAAGCCGATCCATAATCCAAGATGGCCGCCAGCGGGGGACTTAGTTTAACATAGGACCCTATGTGAAATATTTACAAATGTCTTCTTTAAGAGAACCACTGAATGGAATGAAACCAAACATGGCATGAATGTTCCTTATGAAGTGCTGACCAATTGTGGATACTTTGAAGCCGATCCATCATCCAAGATGGCCGCCAGCTGGGGACAATGTTTAACAAAGGACCCTATGGACAATACATACAAATGTCTTCTTTTAGAGAACCACTGAATGGATTTAAACCAAACGTGGCATGAATGTTCCTTATGAGGTGCTGACCAAGTGTTATCACTTTCAAGCCGATCCATAATCCAAGATGGCCGCAAGCGGGGACTTAATTTAACATAGGACCCTATGGGAAATACATACAAATGTCTTCTTTTAGGGAACCACTGAATGGAATGAAACCAAACATGGCATGAATGTTCCTTATGCAGTGCTGACCAATTGTTGATACTTTGAAGCCGATCCATCATCCAAGATGGCCGCCAGATGGGGACAATGTTTAACAAAGGACCCTATGGACAATACATACAAATGTCTTCTGTTAGAGAACCACTGAATGGATTGAAACCAAACGTGGCATGAATGTTCCTTATGAGGTGCTGTCTAAGTGTTGTTACTTTGAAGTTGATCCTTTATCCACGATGGCTGCCAGCGAGGGGACTTCCTATAACATAAGACCCTTAACATGGCATAAATGTTTCTTTTGAGGTTCTGATGAAGTGTTGCTACTTTGTTGCCGATTTACTGTTCAAGATGGCCACCAGGATTTTTATTAAATTACTGGGCCAATATTAAACCAAATTTGGCCTCTTTATGAGGGTATCTGTTATGAATTTAATCTATTTTTACATGATTTCCAAAACCAAAGTAGAATCAGGTGAGCGACACATGCTCTTGAGAGCCTCTAGTTTGGAATTTCAAATATATCAATGGGTTGCAATTTCCCAGTGATAATATGATATGGGTAGAAACTTATACGTCAATGGGTCATACATGTTCATCTTCTGTTAAGCTGTCTGTAAAAACTGATCTTCTTAGTGCCCTGCCGACGAAGTTGAAGGTGACTTTAGGTTTGCACTCCGTCTGTCCATTTGTCAGTCCGTCAAATCAGTTTTCTTAGTGCTTGAAGATATTGATTTGATATTTGGTGTATTACTTTAACATGACAAGTAATATTACAGATCAAGTTCGAATTTTGTTCTGGTCTGATGATTTTGTGCAGAGTTATGGTCCTTGGACTTACAACATTCACTCATATAATCAGTTTTACTAAATTTTGTATGCCCCACCTAGGGGCATTTTGTTTTTTGGTCTGTAAGTCCGTCCGTCCGTCCGTCTGTCCCGCTTCAGGTTAAAGTTTTTGGTCAAGGTAGTTTTTGATGAAGTTGAAGTCCAATCAACTTGATACTTAGTACACATGTTCCCTATGATAATATCTTTTTAATTTTAATGCCAAAGTAGAGTTTTGACCCCAATTTCATGGTCTACTGAACATAGAAAATGATAGTGCGAGTGGGGCATCCGTGTACTATGGACACATTCTTGTTGCGTCATGCTTGAAGATATTGAATGGATAATTGTTATTTAGTGTTATCATGACAAGTAACAGATCAAGTTCAAATTTTGTTCTGTTCTGATGATTTTGTGCAGAGTAAAGGTCCTTTGATTTAAAAAAATTCACTTAAATAATCAGTTTTCCACACTTTTTAGCTCACCTTTCCTAAAAGGAATTGTGAGCTTTTGCCATCACTTGGCATCCGTCGTCGTCCTTCCGGTGTAAACTATTTCAAAGATCTTCTCCTCTGAAACTACTGAACCAATTTCAACCAAACTTGAGTTGAATAATCCTTAGGGTATCTAGTATAAAGTTTTTGTTTTATTTTCTGTTTCGTCAAAAAAAAATTTTGGGTTATTGCCCCTAAATTGATAATTTTAATGAAATTTTGCAGTTTTTATACGACCGCAAAAAATTTTTGCGGTCGTATATTGGTATGACGTTGGCGTCGTCGTCGTCCGGCGTCGTCGTCGTCCGGCGTCGTCGTCGTCGAAGACACATTGGTTTGTCGCACAATAACTTTAGTTTAAGTGAATGGATCTCTATGAAATTTTGATACAAGGTTCAATACCACAAAAGGAAGGTTAGGATTGATTTTGGGGGTTATGGTACCAACAATTAGGGATGAGGGGCCAGAAAGAGGCCAAAAAATAAGCATTTTTGTAACTTCCAGACAATAACTTGTGTGTTAGCGTATGGATCTCTCTGACATTGTATCACAAGGTTTCATATCACAAAGGGAATGCTGGGATTGATTTTGGGGGTAATTGCCTCAAAATTTTAGGAATAAGGGGCCAAAAATGGGGCAATTAGTATATATTTTTTACTTGATCCTGTTTGGGGGTCCAGATTGCAAATATCATTTTTATTAGATAATAATCTATTTTTATTAAAGGATATATTCCATTACATTACATTGTGTAGATAAAGTTGTTGACATTGATAGATAAGTTGCAGATATTAGTTTGTGACAAATGAAAGATATACAGTTTGACTATACTAAGTGTTTTTGAGATAACAAACATGTGGTATTATTATCAATCACAGTTATAAATGGAGTGACAGATTTATTTGGAAATTTTATGTTTCCTAAGTGTTTTTATACGTCCGTTTACGGGACGTATTATGGTATACTGTTGACCGCCTGTCCGTCCGTCGTCAACATGTTCGACATTAACTCAAAAACGCTTTAACCAATATGCATGAAACTTTGGTGAATTGTTTATATCTATTGACGTGAGCTCCCTTTCGTTTTTTTTTTTATAAATTTCGGATTTACCGTTTCCGAGTTTTTTTGCAATTTGCAAGAAACTTTTTTTGCAATTTGCAAGAAACTTTGGTCAATTGTTTATTTCTATCGACATGAGGTCCCTTTTGATTTTTATAAATTTTAGACCATACGTTTCCGATTTATGGGGTTTTATTCATTACAAAAAGTGGGATTTTCCAGTTTTCGGACAAGAACTCAAAAATGCCTTCGGAAAGGTGAGCTTTTGCCATCACTTGGCGTCCGTCGTCGTCTGTCGTCGTCCATCGTCGTCCGTCTGGTGTAAACTATTTCAAACATCTTCTCCTCTGAAACTACTGAACCAATTCCAACCAAACTTAAGCTGAATGATTCTAAGGGTATCTAGAATAAAGTTTGTGTTTTATTTTCTGTTTCATAAAAAAACATGGCCGCCATGGCTAAAAATAGAACGTAGAGGTAAAATGCAATTTTTGGCTGATATCTCAAAAACCAAAGCATTTAGAGCAAATCTGATGTGAGGTAAAAATGTTTATTAGGCCAAGCTCTGTCAGCCCTGAAATTTTCAGATGAATCTAACAAACCATTGTTGGATTGCTGCCACTTAATTAGCAATTTAAAGGAAATTTTGCAGTTTTTGGTTATTATCTTGAATATTATTAATGATCAAGATAAACTGTGAACAGCAAAAATATTCAGCAAAGTAAGATCTACAAATAATTCCGTATGACCAAAATTGTCAATTGTCCCCTTAAGGAGTTATTGCCCTTTAAAATCAATTTTTCACAATTTGTTCATTTAGTTTGCTTACTTTAAAAAATCTTCTTTGAAACTGCTGAATCAATTTCAGCCAAACTTGGGCTGAATGAGTTTCAGAGTATCTAGTATAAATTTTGTATTTTATTTTCTTGTACGTCAAGAAACATAGCCACTATGGCTAAAATGAAACATAGGGGTAAAATGCATTTCTTTAATTTTGAAGAAAATATGACAGATACAAAGAACATTTAAATGGCATTTTTAAGCCACTCATTAATATATATTGAAAAGCAAAAATAATCATTGATGAAAGACATAAGCAAAAAATTACAGGTGAGCGATTCAGGCTCTTGAGAGCCTCTTGTTTTATGTCTCTGATACAACTACACTCAACATTGAAAGTTTGGCAAAGGAGAGGCAAACGATACCAAAGGGACAAACTCATAAGTCGACAATAAACTGACAACGCCATGGCAAAAAAAAGACAAATAACAGTAACTGTATACAAAACACAACATATAAAACTAAAGAATGAGCAACACGAACCCCACCAAAAGTCGGGGTGATCTCAGGAGGTCCGGAAGGATTAGCAGATCCTGCTCCATGTTGCTCATGAAAGTCTATGTAAGTACATGTTTTTCTGCCTTAGATATATGGGTGATTGTTAGTTTTTTTCTCACATTTAATTGAAGATGTAATAACATTAACGGTACCAATTAATTTTACTGCACTACTGCACCAGATTCCCATTTTGATAATTTATGTTTCTTTAAGTGATGCTCCAAGCCAAATCTAATATAAACGACGAAGAACTGATAAACCTGGACAAGGAATCAATCTTCTGCATGAGGAAGATACATTATTTACAAGTTCTAAAATTAACATGATAATGTTTCATAATTTTTTCACTTGGTATAACCATTGTTTATTCTGTAAAGGTGTTAATTTGACAACTTCGTGTTTTAAATTGTCTAAAGATATACATGTTCCATAGTATTCTTCTCTTTCACTAAAGGTTCGTATACATTTGAACTTTGTTCAGCTGGTCCACACTCATCATATATATGTGGAACATTATCAACAATTTTATAAGGTAACGTGTTATAGTATCTCTCTGGGATACAATCATCATACTGACGTGGATCATTTTCCAAATCGCCAGTGAGTTGAATATTACTGTCGGACACGGCAACATTCGGTTCACTAGATGTTGAATTACTTGATGGTTCGACATTGTCAAACAGGGATCCACCTGGAGTTCCTTCTATACCTGTAGGTTCTGTTGATGCTAGTGTTAATTGATTATGAAGAGCATCGGAAGCCCCATAATTGCTAGCCGCAATGTTTGACGTATTTTGAAAGTTTTGGTTAATTGATGGATTTTGCACTGGCTCTATTCCCGATGTTGTGGCTGCATGATTGTGTGCTGCTGAAATACTTAGTCTCCGCCTTTGGAGCAGAACAAACATTACGATACCAAGAGAGATAATAATGCAACCAACAATCGCTGCTACAAGATATATCGGCATAGAGAAAAAACCTTAAAATAAAGGAAAAAAAAATGACTTGCAAGATAAGTAAAGACGATTGTATGTTTAACAACCATTTAAAACACATTGGTTCATGCCTTTTTTAGCTTGAACTTCTTACTTGCAGTTTATTCCAATGCAAATAACATACTAAACATATTTAGAAATTCGCGTTAAAACATAAAGATACTGCGAACGCAGAGCTTTCCGGATTACAACTAACACTATGATAGAATTCGTCTGATAATTATGGTGTAACTAGATAGTAGGCAGATCTTATAGATATTCTGATAGTTTTACCTCTGTAAGATTTGTTTTATTTGTATCATGGGTTTTGAGATAGCTGACAATTTCTTGAATTTGACCCTTTTGTATTATGTTTGATATCGGTTGTATCGGTGACCATATTGATTGGTCGCCAACACCTGAACAAATCTGAAAAAAGAAACACTCTAAAGATGATTGTGTATAAAGTTTACAGGGCATTAAGAGATATGAATAGCTCATGCACACTGGCTAATTTGTGCGAACTAGAAATAATATTTTTAGTGTTTATAGTACATACGAAATTTATTAAATATATTCGATTATCAAAAACATACCAGTCAACATATATGTTACCGTTCGTTTCGTTGATGTTTCATCTAATGGGACTATTTGAGGATTGCTCGCCTTGGTCTGTTCAATGTTGCAATTGCTTGAAGTAATGGCCCGTCTAGTTGTGCTCGCTCTTTTGAAATCTACAAAATTTCAACAAATAAGCTAATCAGGGTTTTATATATATCATACAATTTTATACAACATAAAAAAATACATAAAAAGGTGAAAAAAACACTGAGTGTACTACGATGTTAAATTCATAAGGTAAAAACGCAGAACCAACGCAAAGGACTTGACTGCAGGATTACCAAGAATCCATGTACAACTTTAAAATACTTTTTGGACACAAGTGCCGTAAGATATTTCAGTACGAACATTTTGTCTATTTCGACACCATCCTTTCGTTTTTAAACCCTCCCGTAAAAATATTTATTTTGCCTTGTGGGTGTCTAAATCTATTATCGTAATGAAACCCAAAATGTCTCTTAAAAATTTAGAAAAATCGGCTGTTCTGTTAAAGAACTAACAAAATAGTCAAATATTCTATAACAACGCAAAAAACGTTAGAATGATTGATGTTTGCTAGATACACCGCATCAGCGCAAAAAGGCTATATCGCGGCAAGGCTATTTCAAATATTTAAACAAAGGCAGTTGTAAACATCAGACAAAAGGTCTTTCAATACCATTAAACTTTAGTTTAAAGCAAAATTACTTAATAGTTACAAATAATATAACCAATAAGATACCGTGATAGAAATTAAAATCATTTTAAACTAATACAATATGTTTGTATTTTGGACTATATTCCAATTTCTTTTAAAAATGAAACAATTGTTTGAACTGGAATGATATTGAATAAATCAATCCATGGAAGTATTATTTACGTTCTTGATCACTTGATCATCCATATTATTTATATCAAAATGTTTTCTCCGAATATCGGAAAAGTCAAGACATTCAAAAAATTAATACGTTTGTGCTTCCTTGTAAATTATGAAGCTTTATCTCTATATATTATTAATCGAATTTTTTAAGGATTTGTGATTCCTTAAAACTTTATCACATGTACAATACTGTTGTGTTTAGCTTTTCGTAGGTCAAAAACAGCATATTGCACAGGGCATACAGCATGTTACTAAAAATACATTCTAGAAATCCCCGATTTTACATTGTTCATACAATAGTTGTTGATCGATAATATAACAATTGTTGTTTTTGGTTGAGGTCAATACGATGTTATATCGACCTAGAGAAGCATATCGACCTCGGACTTCGTCCTCAGTCCATATGCTTCTCTTACCTCGTATCGATCTCATACACAGGCTATAATTGCATAATATTGTCCATATATCAATTAAAATCGACCAGTTTGCAATCATAATGTATCGAACGGTATATGTTTCCTGTTGCGGTGATTGAAGGTAAGCGGGGATTCGACCCTAACAATTTCACTACGCAGAACGATTATGGTATGTTTTTTTTTTTGTGTGGATGGGCTGAATCTGACTTAGGCTTATCTACTTAAGTTACAATTTCTTATGATAACACCGACGTATCTGTACAGATTTGTATTCCCGACAATCGACATCGACAACGTCCCCGTTGAAGGCTAAGAAAAATGATGAAAATAGTACTTTTTTAATATTTTCGTTTCATCTCGTTGTCAAGTATGACGCCATGATATGAACGGAGTACTTACACCACATTGAATTGTTTTTTTTTATGTGTGTGTGTGTGTCATTTTATGCTAAAATAAATATGGTCGTTTACATCCACGTCATTTGGTCTCAGGTGGATATGTCTCATTGGCAGTCATATCACCTCTCCTTAATTGTATACTAAGGTATGATAAGAATAATAACAAGTTGCTTTCTTTAAAAAAAGAAATGCAATCGTAAACCCGAATGCTTGCTTGGCATTAGATATAAGATGTAATTGTTTAAAAAAAAGATTTATTGTTTTATATCATTTTTGTTATATAAGAATTAGAAACTGACATGCAGTGACTGTTTACTTAAAGTAAATACTGTTCAATGTGGGGTGAAATATTCTTGTTAAAGGAATATTTTTTCTCTCCTCTCTCCCGAAAGACATCATGTTAAGTCACCCACTTGATGTTCCATTCTAAGATGCTGGTTTTTGTTTTTAAATTAGAGTTAGTTTTTAGGCTAAAGTTCAAATGCAAATGTGAAGAAATTTAATCAATTAATGATTATATGTGTTTAAGAAATGCAATACGTGAACCTATAAAATAGCCGTTTTTATTGGAATATGAGATATGTTCATGGTTATTTGAACAATGGCTTAATATTGATAATTATTAAGATCCTTACACCCGTGCTCTGCAAGGTTTTTTTATGCTTAGGGTAGCAAACATTGGCAATTTTAAGTTCTGTGCTTTGTGTATGCTCTTAAAAGTTTTAGATGACAAACCTCTTTTGTTAAAAAAAAAACACTTTTAAAACCTTGAACTCGCTTTGAAGATATTTTCCGGATGTCCCTTTTTATTTTGATGTTTTCTTATATTTTAAATTGTGGGTCATGAAAAAAGGCCTGCAAGTTTAATTGTAAATATATACAATTTGAATCGCACTGTATCCTTTTCACCTTGATGACCGAAACCAATTCATTAAAAAAGATATTTATAGCCCAGACAAAACAGCTTACACCTTGTACTTATAAACAAACAAACAAAATTGAAAACAACAAAAAAACTAACATGGTCAAACCTGAAATTACCACTGATCGGTATACCCATCACCTAAATATGAGTTTGTTTAAAGGTCACATTTATGAACTGTTGTAAGGTGTTCCTTTTTGTCGAGCCTTCGACTTTAGTCGAAAAAGCGAGACAAAGCGATTCTACATTCCGTCGGTGTCGTCGGCGGTGGCGTCCACACATATTCACTCTGTGGTTAAAGTTTTTGAAATTTTAATAACTTTCTTAAACTATTCTGGATTTGTACCAAACTTGGACAGAAGCTTGTTTATGATCATAAGATAGTATCCAGAAGTAAATATTTTAAGAATAAAATTCCATTTTTCCGTATTTTACTTATAAATGGAAATAGTTTTTTCTGCTAGGAAACAATACATTCACTCTGTGGTTAAAGTTTTTAAAATTCTAATAACTTTCTTAAACTATCCTGGATTTGTACCAAACTTGGACAGAAGCTTGTTTATGATCATAAGATAGTATCCAGAAGTAAATTTTGTAAAAATGAAATTCCATTTTTTCCGTATTTTACTTATAAATGGACTTAGTTTTCTGCTTGGATACACTACATTCTCTCCGAGGTTAAATTTTTTTTTTAAATTTTAATAACTTTCTTATACTATACTGTAATTGTACCAAACTTGGACAGAAGCTTGTTTATGATTAAAAGCTAGTATCTAGAAGGAAATTTTTTGTTAAAATTTTGTACCTGTTTATCCGAATTTTACTTATAAATGGACTTAGTTTTTCTTCCAGTTAACATTACATACAGTCTGAAGTTAAATTTTTTAGATTAATAAACTATCCTGGATTTTTCCCAAACTTGGACAGAAGCTTCTTAAAATAAAAAAAAATAGTATTGAGAGGAATATTTTTATTGATGTTTTTCCTCAATTTTGTTGAGCCTGCGATTTACAGCAAAAGTAGGCGAGACTCTGGGTTCCGTGGAACCCTTACGATTTTTTTTTATCTGAACACGATTTTTTCATTAAATATTAAAGGGTGTCTTTTACATGGTAAAATTACACTACTGTATTATGGTATGTATGTAAATTCTTTTAAACCAGGTGTATTCATAAGCACATGTCCCAAGTCCGAAGCATGTTGTTTAGTGTTGTCTTTTTTTGGTGCAGTTCATATTTGCTTTTTGTTTCTGGTTTCAAGTTAAATTAGATCTGTTTGTTTTTTCCTGTTTAAATTGTTTTATAACAGTGTTTTGGGGCCCTCAGTAGGATGCTGTCCAATGTGAGCCAAGCTTTTGTGTTGAAGGCTGAATTATAACCTATAATTGCTAATTTTGACTACACTGTGTTTTGATGGAGAGTTGTCTTCCTACCACATTTAAAAAGATATTCCCTGACATTTGAAAAATCCATTAGAATAATCGAGATATTGAAATTGAACTGAAGTTGCCTAGTAGGTTTCTTACATTGACCCGGCTATCCTTTTTCTCTCTTGCTGGATAGTTTTATACTAGTCATTTGGGGGCAATGTGTAGCCTACTGAACAGTGAGATGGCTCAAAATCTTCTTACACTATTTTACATTTTCGTACTTAATATATTAAAACCGAAAATTCATCATCTGATCGTCTTTATGAAACAATAATTATTTATTTTTATTTTGACGAACATTTTGAAGAGCATTAATTACTACAGGCCGAACATATAGTTAGATAATCTGTTCCCTGACCAAGATAACTATAAATAGAAATTAATTTTCTTATCTCTGCCTGCATCTGTCATCACTCGGTGTCTATTTATTAATAGACATTTGACAAGGAAATAACGTTGTAATATTCAAACAAAGAAAATTGCAATTTTGAAGAAAATAAAAATTATTCAAGGACGTATATCAATTTAGATTACATACGTCCTTGGTCTATCCTAGACGTAAAATTTCAATAAAGTGCAAGAAAGACTTCATTTTAATTTCAGTATTGTCCTTTCGTTAGTCCCACAAGGACGTTGAGGTATGAAAATTATGAAATAGCCTGCTTCGTACATTATGTACATTTTCCCTAGACTCGGAATCTTAAGTGAAATGCTAGTAATACTTCTTTTATAGATTTTAGTTTTAACAAATCTCGTTTCGAATATAAATCGCATTGTTTACGTGAAATCTTATCTCATATCAGTAAACACAGCTGGTTTCAACGTTTGACTCTAATTAGAATAACTACGCGTATATGTAAGGTAAATATTATCAGCTTGTAATTGCGTGCAAGGAAGTATTCAAATGCTTATTAAAGTAGCTTGCGTCATAATAAATTTTGCATCATATGTAACATATCTCTATAGCAACTTTAAGACGCGAATGATTCAACAGGTCAAATAATAAGCTATTGCGCATGTATATGAAAGGTGGCCATAGAAAGAAACATGTATTCCGAATAACATCCGGTGTTCCGAAAGACTACGGAC